GTTGTGTTTTACTGTAACTTCAGAAGCTCCAGACACGTGAGCAAAAGCGCCAATCTCATTGGTCGGATAGTTTTTGACGAGGCGCGTCAAACCAAAAAAACGACCCCGAGACGTTTTTTAAAAAATGACGCTTTTACGTGTGGCGTTTTTCGTGTCGGTGTGCACACTCACATTGGCGCCCTTTGTTTAGTCACGAGGCGTTAAACGTCGGCGAATATCGCGCGCGAAATTCGTCCCGGTGTGAACAGGGCTTAATACTGTGTTTGACCCCCTTTCGCCTTCAGAACTGCCTTAATTCTACGTGGCATTGATTCAACAAGGTGCTGAAAGCATTCTTTAGAAATGTTGGCCCATATTGATAGGATAGCATCTTGCAGTTGATGGAGATTTGTGGGATGCACATCCAGGGCACGAAGCTCCCGTTCCACCACATCCCAAAGATGCTCTATTGGGTTGAGATCTGGTGACTGTGGGGGCCATTTTAGTACAGTGAACTCATTGTCATCTTCAAGAAACCAATTTGAAATGATTCGAGCTTTGTGACATGGTGCATTATCCTGCTGGAAGTAGCCATCAGAGGATGGGTACATGGTGGCCATAAAGGGATTTACATGGTCAGAAACAATGCTCAGGTAGGCCGTGGCATTTAAACGATGCCCAATTGGCACTAAGGGGCTTAAAGTGTGCCAAGAAAACATCCCGCACATCATTACACCACCACCACCAGCCTGCACAGTGGTAACAAGGCATGATGGATCCATGTTCTCATTCTGTTTACGCCAAATTCTGACTCTACCATCTGAATGTCTCAACAGAAATCGAGACTCATCAGACCAGGCAACATTTTTCCAGTCTTCAACTGTCCAATTTTGGTGAGCTCTTGCAAATTGTAGCCTCTTTTTCCTATTTGTAGTGGAGATGAGTGGTACCCAGTGGGGTCTTCTGCTGTTGTAGCCCATCCGCCTCAAGGTTGTGCGTGTTGTGGCTTCACAAATGTTTTGCTGCATACCTCGGTTTTAACGAGTGGTTATTTCAGTCAAAGTTGCTCTTCTATCAGCTTGAATCAGTCGGCCCATTCTCCTCTGACCTCTAGCATCAACAAGGCATTTTCGCCCACAGGACTGCCGCATACTGGATGTTTTTCCCTTTTCACACCATTCTTTGTAAACCCTATAAATTGAGGTTTATGTTGTGCGTTGCCATGACATTCACGCGAGCACGAAACTACTATGATGGTACCTCAACGTTTAACAGACACACCGTGAAACATTGCAAAAATGAGCTGAAACCGCTGAAACGTGATGCCTGGAAAATGCAAGTTTCAAGATATTTGGCTCACCAAAGAAGATTACAAAGAATGCTTGTTAAGATAATGTAAACCCATGAGGCTCATTACATGAGCCTAAGCTCTTTTCAGTAAAATCCATGAAGATAATATCAGATCATTTTAGAATACAGTATAGGATGTACCGGATATTCTTCAGTTTTATGCAAAACAGAAATACAAATAGAATATCAGATCTCCTTCATATGGCCAAAAATAAATGCAAAAAAGCAGTTTTTGCATAGTTGTGTTTGACACATGAAAACTTCAAATTCAAGGACCTTCCAGGTCCAATACCCTCAAATTCAAGGACACATTTCGAATAAGAGCAAGGTAACATCGTGTTACCTTGTAAGATACATTGTTACAGTTTTCATGTGTCAAACACAACTATGCAAAAACTGCTTTTTTTGCATTTATTTTTGGCCATATGAAGGAGATCTGATATTCTATTTGTATTTCTGTTTTGCATAAAACTGAAGAGTTAATGCTGCGCAGTTTTACAACGTTATTTTTAATGAAATGTTGCAATTCTATATACGTGTGTGTATGTTTATATATATATATATATATATATATATATATATATATATATATATATATACACGTATATAGAATTGCAACATTTCATTAAAAATAACGTTTTAAAGGTAGGGTAGGCTACCAATAGCGAGCTAGCTTTGCAATTAGTTGTTTGTATAATTGTATTAATATTAGACTTTTTAATTAAATTCAGGAAATTCATTGAATCTGAATTAAAAAACTGCAAGCCAATAAAATAACCACACTTTTATTTAAAGAAGGCTAACACACCAAAATTGGACAGAAATATTTAAAAATAATATTAAAGCTACAATATGTCATTTTTTCGCCGCCAGAGGTTGCATTTTCAAAACAATAACAAAGACGAAGCTTGATGACGCTATGAAGGAGAGTGGAACTATGGGAGATGTCGTTTTCACCATCCAGAGATGTATAGAATTCACGAATCATATCAATTATATATCAGCTAATAAATTAGTTTTTGTATTAGGCCTACCTGTATGTTTGATCACACTATTTTATGTCATCGTAATGAATTAGCTGCCAGGAACGTGAAATGTAATGCTATATTAGCCTGTTACTAATATGTGACTATTTGTCAAATGATGTGGTGGGTTAATGCTGCGCAGTTTTACACGTTTAAAGTACTTTTAGCCACGTCGTACTAAAAGTAAATTTGAACAAACCCACAGTATTTACAAGTAATACATAGTAACACATACTTAATTTCACTGCCATAGACTTAGTCACCAGACTTGATAAAAAGTGTTACTGAAGTACAAACAAAGTGCAATATAACTGTAGTGTACAATAAATAATATATATTTGCTTACCTGTCTATTAAAATGCATGCGAGAGCGGAGTCTCTGTGGACAGATCAAGTCCAAGTTTGTTGCGAAGCTCTCTCCATCTCGAAAACGCCACGCCGATATTGATCCTTGTTTTATTTCTCCGTTTGTCCCAAAGCCTGCTTGTCTAAGTTGATCTATGTTTACGTTTTTTGGGGGGATTTTCGCCTATCTATAATCCTATGTGACTGAACAACACAACAGAGGTGTGCGGATATTACATCACTGTTAGGCGACAATGACCAGGGACGAGCCATTATTAAAAACTGGAATTTCTCTGGATTTACAAATCCTTGGGACCTTTTGGGATAATGTTATTGCACAACTGCATGAAATATATCTCACTGTGAAAGTGGTTTTTGAATATTTTGTTACAAAAATCTTACATATTGTGCCTTTAAATATCAGTATATTATTCTTCATTCAATTCTATGCAACATAATCAGAGTAACAGATTTATGTTCACCAATTATCAAAATAATGTATAGTCCTACAAAGCTATTATTATCAGAGCATGTGAGCAGATAGCGGGGAGCGGATCAGTGAACGAGAGGGTAGCGTCATTTTACCAGCGTTGCCACGGCTATACCACACCATGTAACAGCAAAGTACGGTTATTGCAAACAGAAACAAGTCTACTACAGATAAATTTCATGCCGGCACGTCGCTTCAGTTTAATGTTGGACATCTACAAAAAATGCTGCACGAGAGTGAAACCTGAGCGCTGAATACAGAGGAGTGGGGCAGCATAAATTTTAGGCTCATTTTTCTGCCTTTTTTGTCTTTTGATCTAAAACCGAAAATGCCATTTTCGGCAATCGAAATTTTGGTGCATCCCTAATTTCAAACAGGTTGAGGTCTGGACTTTGACTGGGCCAGTTCAACACCTTTGTTCTTTTCTTTTTCAGCTATTCTGTTGTAGATATGCTGGTGTGATTGTGATCATTGTCCTGTTACGTGACCCAATTTGGGCCAAGCTTTAGCTGCCGGACAGATGGCCTCACATTTAACTTTAAAATACTTTGGTTTACAGAGGAGGTCATGGTCGACTCAAAGACTGTAAGATGCCCAGCAGGTCCTGCAGCTGCAAAACCAGCCCAAATATGAGGTGTTTGTGTTGGTATTCTGTGTTTGGTTTTCTCCAAACGTGGCGTTATTAAATGGCCAAACATCTCCACTTTGGTCTCGTCTGTGCAGAGGACATTGTTCCAGAAGTCTTGCTTGTTCAGATGCAACTTTGCAAAACCTAAGCCGTGCTGCCAATGTTCTTTTTAGAGAAAAGAAGCTTTCTCCGGGCAACCCTTCCAAACATGCCATACTTGTTCAGTCTTTTTCTAATTGTACTGTCATGAACTTTAACATTCAACATGTTAACTGAGGCCTGTAGAGTCTGAGATGTAGCTCTTGGTTTTTTTTTTGCGATTTCTCTGAGCATTGCACAGTCTGACCTTGGGGTGAATTTGCTGAGACGTCCAATCCTTTGAAGATTGGCAACCGTCTTGAATGTTTTCCACTTAATAATAACAACAATAATCTTCCTCACTGTAGAATAATGGTCTTTAGATTGTTCGGAAATGGCTGTATAACTCTTCCCAGATTGATGGCAGCAACAATTGCTTCTCTAAGATCATTGCTGCTGTCTTTCCTCCTTGACATTGTGTTTTAACACACACCTGAACGCCCCAGACCAGCAAACTGCCAAAACTTCTGCTTTTATAGAGTTGATCACACTTTCTGATGATCAATTAATCAAAGACATTTGATTAGCAGCGCCTGACAGCTACTTACCCTCCTAATTCATTTGGAAGCAGTAGTTTGTCACACATGGCTTCTCCATTTTGGCCTAGTTTTTGTTAAATAAATAATGACAAGTACTCAGACTGTGAATCTGCTGGGTTAAACTGTCTCTCAGATGTGCCTGTTGCGATATTATTTTTAGATTTTGCATGTACAAATGCGTACGTGCGCTTGAAGTAAAGAGATGCAGTGTAATATGCTGTTCCTGTTTCAAAGTTTTTATATTATATTTTTATTTGTATAAAAATAACATGTTCACCTAATCCAAACTAAAAAGCTATGAAAAGTTTTTGCAAGTTAACACACTGAAGCAAAACCGGTGCCTGCGATCTGCGGCGCAGATCACAAGTTTGCTATTTATGATTTTTCTAATTTACCGAAAATGTTTTCCATTCTCACAGCTCTTTTTTTAAACAGAGAAACTTTATACATTTATATGTCAACTTAGGTTTAATAGTCTTTTCACTTTGTATCTTTTTGCCTTCCAGCACTGAAAAGTTCTGCGTCCTTTCATGAGCAGAGACGAAGTTTAGAACGAGCTAGGGTAAGTCCTACAACAAAGATTTTTGTTTTTTTCACTCTCACTTTATTCCTCATACTTTCCTCCTGTGTCTCAGACTGAGGACTACCTGAAGAGAAAGATTCGCAGTCGTCCAGAGAGGTCAGAGCTGGTCAGGATGCACATTCTTGAAGGTGAGTATTTTAATAACACCCCCTACAGTTCCAACACAGACACACACCTCACAGAGAGAGCAGAGGTTAAGACATATACAGTGGCTTTCAAAAAGTTTCAAACAATATGACAGGGTTATATACAGCATGTTTAACTGTATGTATTTCCTGTATATAGAGACGTCAGCGGAGCCATCTCTTCAGGCCAAGCAGCTTCTGCTGAAGCGAGCTCGTCTAGCTGACGACCTGAACGATAAAATCTCCCAGCGGCCTGGTCCGATGGAGCTCATTCACAAAAACATCCTTCCAGTTCACAGCAGCCTCAAACAAGTCATCATAGGTACTAAATTAAAGCCAGAAAAAACAATAATGATCACACGGCAGAGTAAAAGCTTTATTTAGTTATAGATCAATATACAAGCCGAAAACAATTGACCATTTAACATGAGTGGTAGTTTACCCTTGTATTAGTTCTGTTTAATTTGAATTAATTTACCTTATTAACTTACTTTATACTAATATGCATGTATGTCAAAAAATGTTCATCATTATATTGAATTTCTATAATATATCTAGGACTACAAATAACAATTAGGTTGATAATCTGTCAGTTATTTAATAAATATGTAAAATATTAAATATATAATAATAATAATATACTATTACACATATAACAACTAATCAACAAAACTGATAATAAAAATAATCATGAACCTATTTCTTAGACCGTTACAGTAGGTTTGTGCTTTTGTTTTTCTTTAATATTATATATGAATTTTTTTAACTTATTTATAATTAATATTATTTCTAGTTATTTCAATTGGCAAAAAATGCATTTTGAGAGCAGTTTAAATAGTAATCGCTCATAACGTATGTATAGCATATATATATATATATATATATATATATATATATAATATTAAAGAAAAACAAAAGCACAAACCTACTGTAACTGTCTAAGAAATTGGTTGATGATTATTTTTATTATTAGTTTTGTTGATTAGTTTTTGTAATCATAAATATATTGCCATTATATCAGTCAAAAAAATAGGCATTAAAAAAAACGAATCGGCCCAGCACCAGTTTTGAGTAAAAATTCTCTAAGAAACTCTAAGATAGCGGTTACAACTTTATTGAACTTTCGCACTCTCTTTCATACTCAGCATACTTAATCCATCTAAATCTTTATCTGTCTCTTTATTCACTGTTTTTTGTGAGTGACGAAGCAAAGCAAAGCTCTATTTTAACGAGTTGGATAATTTCCCCTTCAACACTTATATTCACATTTATATTCCTCTCACTCAACATTTCTTCTGGATCATTCGCTTTTTTTCCTCAATCTACAGCATATCCATTCACAGACACGTCAGTTCTCATTCCAGCGCCGCTGTTAGGTGGTATATGCGCATTCATCTTCATATTTATATCCCGCCACATTCCTGCAGCGGTGCAGAGGGCGATAATTTGATGCAGAGTTATGGTAATGAGATCGGTGTGCGTCAAACACCAAGTTAAATTAATTAGAGGGAAATTTACATTCATGTTCATACAGTATATGCCACTCTGTGGTGGCAAGAGTCGATTAACTATGAAGTTTATGCAGCGTCACACAATGCAGCACAGAGAAGGAATGCTAAAAAGATGTTTGCACAGAACGACCTAAACTGTTTTAATCCCTAAATAACCTAATTAGAGGGTTAATGATTATCGGGATAATGCCACACTCTCACAGCACGCTCAAATTAAATAGAAATATAATGCAGCATATTATTCACTATAGTACAATATTAGTGCAGTGTAAGTGAAACAGGGAAATTGTGCTGTTCAGAGGTTTACTTCGTACTTTTTCTTATTTAAGATCACTGAGCATTTCTATTTCTAAAACAATTTATTCATTTATTTATTTAATGGCAAAATGAAAAATCCCATGTTTTAGCTATAGGCATGAATCGTATTTCTTTACTTATTTCATTATACCTGGCAGAAAAAAAGTGAAATGCAATTGTGAAAATAAACACTCTTTAAAATGCAAAAATACATTGAAAATAAACTAAATAAAAGAGTAAAAACATGTTTTATGTGCCTGTCATCAACCTCCTGGATCATCCTAGCACCCACCACTGATGTTGCCTTTAGAAAATGTTCAAATCTTGCATGTTTACTCTAACCATCCTTGTTTCGCTCTCTCGTTTTCAGAGACGGAGTTTCCAAAAGTAGAAGCGGAGAACTCTTCGTTTGATGAGGAAAGCAGTGACGCTTTCTCACCAGAACAGATACTCTGTCAGGACTCTCCCCTTGTCCACGCCCACTTACCTTCTCCGCCTGAGATACCAGCAAATGAAACACCAAAACAGGTGCCATATCATAATTTGCTCATATAAAATTATACCTCAGAGTGATGGAAGTATACTTTAGGCTATTGCAGCGTCGACATGAAGCATTTTAGCTCATTTAAGACTGTGCTTAGGAGGATATTTGCCCAAAACAGACATTTTGACAATTTTGTGTGGTTTTTTGTATGTTCAAGCACAATAAGAGGCAAAATGAGAACTCAAACCGGTGCAGGCACACTGTTTGAGAACTGCTTCACAGACAGCGCACCAGTACCGAATTTACGCGCTTGAATGGTTCAAAAAGTACTTGAATGAATGAATTATGATCATAGGATAGGCCTACATGCGAACCATCCTTGGCCAGCCGCTCTCTCTCACTTCACGAAGCTGGTAATCCAGAAAGCGGGATCATGCACTGTAACGCTAGCCAAAGCATGTAAAAAAAAAAAAAAAGATGCTGCATTAATTGTGTTAAATATTTGTAATGTGTTATTAAGAAAGAAAATATTAATCAGAGAACTTTACAGGCCTAAAATATATATATATAATATATAAAAAAACAATAAAAAATCAAATATAAATACGAGATATTTATATTTACGAGCAAATAGCTGATAAAATAAGTTTTAAGTTGAAGTACTAAAATACTTAAAGTGACATAAAATTAAAGCTAAATAGAAATATCTTAAAATAACAAATGACAAAAGCACATAACAAAATTATTAAACAAACTAAAATTGAAATGAAATCTGAAAATTTAAAAATAAAGGTTAATTCATATTAATATATGTAAGGATTAATTGTCAACTCGAAGCGATAATTCAATAATTCAATGGCCCGGAGTCAATTATTCCGCTTATTCTACTGTTACCACACCTCAAGACATTGTTCAGATCATGTATTTCAAGACATTTGTCAGGTTTTTGTCCTTAAAACTCTCTTGTGTGTAGGACTAATCTCTTACACATCTCATCCCACGCCTCCATTGCTAATTGACGTCATTTTAGAGCTATGGAGGTTTGAGCCACTGATAGCGGACTAATGCTGTTATTAGAGAGAGAGAGAGAGAGAGAGAGAGAGAGAGAGAGAGAGAGAGAGAGATTAAGCGTATGTTGCCTGAGTTTGTGTCTCTCAACAGTGTTCGTCTCTATTGTAAGTAGTTTATCTGGTCCAAGAACAACGCCATTATCTCGCTAGTGTGAAATATCCGTACACAATAAAACGTAATTTTGTGGCAAAAACATGTAAATAATTTGTCTTTTTTATCCTATTGTTTACTATTAGGGATGGGGCCGATCCGATCCAGTATCGGTATCGGGACCGATACCAGCGTAATTCACGTATCGGATTTTCCCGATCCAACCTGCGGAGATATCCGATATCCATGAGCCATGTCTGCGCTTTAACGTAGTCTGCTGAAACGACTCCAAAAGTGATTCCCGCGGCCCGCCGGCTAGTCTGCTAGCTGGCTGCAAACTGTGGAATGGATATCCTGAACGGAGGTGCGGCTCAATGAGACACAGAGACCCCCCCTCAGGAAATCCATTCCGCAGTTTGCAGCCAGCTAGCAGGATAGCATTGAGCTGCCAACATGTTCGCTGTGTGGAAATCCTATGGTGGAAATACTTCACACTGGAAACACCACAGCAGAGCAAGACAGCAAAATGCAATGTTTGCAAAGCCGTATTAATTAAACCATTTGTCTGTGATGCATGTTTGCTATTCGCAGTCCAGAAGAGAAAGAGAGAGATCTCTCACGCGGTGCCACAGCGCGCACAACACGACAGCCCATCAGCATGATCGGTGATTGTTGTAAAATGCAGTCTCTACTGTTGCTAAATTGCGGGACGCTTTTAATAATAAAAAAAGCTATTAAAAGCACAAAAATCTGCGCAAGAGAAGCTGTTCCCGCGTCGCGCGCTCCGAAACAGACCGCAACGAGACAAGCACATTATACTTTGGGCTTCATATGCACGTCTAAACGATCAAATGTAGCCTACACAAAAATGTCAAAATGACCGGCTTGGAGATTCCCTTAAACAGTTTGTCTAAAATGGACGTAGTTATGGAAATAGTTGGGAGAAAATATGGTGCACTCGTTCTTAAAGGGGAAGCAGTCTAATAAACATGCTGACGATTGCTCCATTACTGAGAATCAAACAACAAAAGGCAAAGAGATAATCACTCACAGCTCTTGAATGAATAACTTTAGCTTTAATAAGCATAAATCTATCTATGATAAACTTTGCAGTGCTATTTTACTTTTGATTACTTTATTATAATTATTTTTAGACCATACCTGAATAATGTTAGTAGACCTTCCTGAAATTAAAGCACTGTGTAGGCCTGTATAATGTGTATCTTTGTTTAATTGTCTATCTTTTGTTTATCTATTGTTTAATATATATATATATATATATATATATATATATATATATTGACATACATGCATACATACGTACATATCATACTTGCCTGTAGAGAGGAGTTTATTTCAGCATCATATAAAATCAACAATAATGATAATAATAATATTAAAGCAAACACAGCTCTGGTATCGGAAAAGTATCGGTATCGGCCGATATCCAAATTCAGGTATCGGGATCGGATCGGAAGTGAAAAAATGTGGATCGCTGCATCCCTATTTACTATATCTATTTCCTTGGTCAGTGTCGTTGTTCTTTTGCTGTTGTCGGCTGTAAAAACCTATAGCTAAAATAACTGAAATCATTTGGCGAAGTGATATGGAACTGTAATGCGGTCAAGAAAGACCTGCCTGGGACTACTTTAGCCGTGCGTTTCCCTGAAAATAATTGCACACCTTAGAACATTCGTCAATCAATCAGACTCTAGCATTCATCAGCCCCATATTATAATATAATATAATATAGATAATACTAAAATAACAATGCAAACAGTATGTGATAAAGGGATTAGTGGTATGTAAAAGTATGGCAAACGTATATACTTTCTCATCACCAATAGCATGTATACTTCAAGCGCATAGTATTGAGTGTCTCAAAACATAAAGGTAGTCTCAATTTGTTTTCCATTAAACCTGTGCAAATCTTGGCAGTTTCAGTAAATCCCCTCTGGCTTATAAATAATAATCTATCATCATCAGAATATCACACACACACTTGGAAGTCTTCGTGTAGCTCCTCATGCTCAGTCAACTCTCTAGAGCTCTGAATTATTTGCAACGCTCACCATCTTCCTTCAGCTCATTAAACATCCACTCAGACACTTTCGCACACACTTATTCTAACAAGCTTTTTCCTTTTCACACTTGATCATCTGCACGCATTAATGTTTTGGTCCTGTAGTCACATTTACACACACATGCCCACACTCTCTGAATAAAGTCATGCAGTCGTGATGGAGTTGCTTAAGTTCATGTGCTCCTCCTGTTTCTATTAGGTCCCGCCCCCTCCTCCTCCACCTCCATTGCCAAACGCAGCTGGCCCCGCCCCTCAGCAGAAACTAGCCAATGGAACAACAGGCCACAAGCAAGCTCCTGCACTACAAAAGGTGACGTTTCCTCATTTAACCCAGGACAGCTGTAATTACAATTTAAAGTCTTGCACACGTGTCCTATCATGCACAGTGCAATAATGCCACAAGATAAATCCTTTTCCATGCTAGTCTTAGTTTTTGCCCATATTGAGAATATTTTGGACACTATTAAGTAGAAATTAAGTATATTAAGCACAAAATATATATATATATATATGTGTGTGTATATGTATATGTATCCAAAACTTATCCAGGTATTATGAAAGACTGGAAACGTCGTTATCATCGAAATGTCATTGGTCAAAAGGTGACATTCCCCTACTAGTTTAAAGGTTATTATCCCTTTGACCTGGGATGGGGGTTTGTCTGAATAACTAACATGTTAAGGCTTAATCATAATCTCTTTTTTGTCTTCTTTAGGGTGGTAAAGTGAGTAGTGAACGCCCTGCTCAGCGCTCTAAGAAGGTGAGAGACAATAAACCCAAAGTAAGGAAGCTGAAATATCACCAGTATGTTCCTCCGGACCAGAAACCTGAGCGTGAGCCTCCGCCTCTGCTCGACTCCTCCTACGCCAAACTCCTCTATCAACAGCAGCTCTTCCTTCAGCTACAGATCATAAACCAACAGCAGCAAAACTACAACTACCACACCATCTTACCTGCTCCGCCCAAGTAAGATACGCCACACACACATATTTGTATGTTGATTATATATTGAACTATGCATGTTTTACAAAAAAAAGCATTTAAAAACAATATTGTAATAAAAAAGAAAAATATATTTTTTTAAAGGATAAAGAAAAATGAAATATATATATTATTTAAATATATATATAAAATATAGTATATAATATATATATATATATGAAGAAATATTGAAAATACATATTATATATAAAAAAATTATATACAATATTATGTGTGTGTGTGTGTGTGTATATATATCTTACAAACTTTAAGATTTTTTTGGTAACATTTACAATAAGGGTCATTAGTTAAAATTAGTTAACTACATTAGTTAGCATGAACTAATAATGAACTGCACTTATACAGCATTTATTATTCTTTGTTAAGGTTAATTTCAACATTCACTAATATTTTATTAAAATCTTGTTAACATTAGTTAATGCACTGTGAACTAACATGAACAAACAATGAACAGCTTTATTTTTATTAACTAACATTAACAACGATTAACAAATACAGTAACACATTTATTGCTTATGGTTAGTTCATGTTAGTTATTACATTAACTAATGTTAACTAATGAACCTTATTGTAAAGTGTTACCAGGCTGCCTTTATTTGATTAAAAAAAGTAAAAACAGTAATATTGTGGAATATTATAATAATTTTAAAATTCAATTTCATAATATCTAATGTAATGTTTTATTCCTTTTGATGATAAAGCATTTTCAGCAGCCATTACTCATGTCTTCTGTCACATGACCTTTCAGAAATCATTCTAATATAAAAAAAATTTTCAAGCTGCTTTGATGAATAGAAAGCACTGCATTTATTTGAAAATAGAAAATAGACACTTTTTCACTTTTGATCAATTTAATGCTTCGTTGCTGTATAAAAGTATGAACACTTTCAAAAAAAAAATAATACAAATGTACTGACCCAAACTTTTGAACAGTAGTGTATATATTACTGTTATTATCTTGTTTTTACACTTTATTTAGGCCTCCTGCTGATCAGCAGCTTGCCTCAGCCAATGGCCCGTCATCATCCAGGAATGACACGCAACCTCAATCAACATCCACTAATCTGACAGGTCAAAATCAGCAGAACACTGCAAATGGAGGCGGGATTAAAATAGGGCCTTTGCCTCCTAACCTGGATGAGCTAAAGGTTGAATCGCATGCTACACTTATCATTCTTAATTACACTACTCATTACTGACTGACTATTCAAAATGCATTAAATCAAATGACCTTTTGTCACATCCTGTCGTTCTCTTCATTTCCTGCAGGTGGCAGAGCTGAAGCAGGAGTTAAAACTGCGGGGCTTAACTGTCTCAGGCACTAAAAATGACCTTATTGAACGGCTGAAGAATTTTCAGGAGCAGCACGGTGGCGTCAGTGCACCAACATCTTCTAAAACCAAAACACACTCAACAGCTGCCCCTGTAGCGGGAGGAGACTCTTCCCTCTACCAGTTAAGAGACAGGAGTATGGTGGTTGCTTCCTTCCCATTCGTTGCCACTGCTGAAAGGGGCGGAGCTCAGGTGACAGCACCACAGATAATGCATTTTGGCAGCACTAGCTCCTCCCCTCCGGTTTCCCCCGCCCACTCAGAGCGCTCATCGACTGGACTGAGCCCAGATGAAACAAGCTGTAATGGGGATGCTTTTGGGGAAATGGTAAATGTTTTCTTCTATGCTTTCTTACCACTAGCATTTTCAGACAAATGAGAATGGGTAACTTCTGGATTAGCGATAGTGAAACGTTACTAAGTGGCATTTACAGAAAACCTTGCACTGTGTCTGGAATGGAAGCGACATATGAAGCATTGCACCACAACAGCTAGAGGCTGTCTAGTGTCAAAACTGCATGACACTTCCGAATGTTCACTCACCACAAACCAATCAGATGTGAGCTTGAGGCTAGACTTCAGCAACAGTAAAATGAAAATAAAATCCTTCTTTATTTGTAAGGAAAATATGTTGGTTATATAATTGATGGTAATATAACTAATATTTTTGTTAATAATAATTTAGATTATTTCAGAATAATAATTCGGATAGACTTCAGCAACGGTAAAATGAAAATAAAGTCCCACTTTTAATTCAAATCTATTGGTTATGTACAGTAATTGATAATATTATAATCAATTTTATAAATAGTAATTTAAATAGTTTATTTTATTTAATCAAATAATTAGGCTAGATGTTAGCAACAGTAAACATGAAAGTAAAATGCCACTTTAGATTTCAATGAAAATCTGTTGGTCTAATAATCAATAATAACAATTAAAATTAATTATTTCAAAATAATAATTTGGCTAGACCTCAGCAACAGTCAAATGAAAGTAAAAGCCTACTTTATTTTTAATGAAATATATCTGATCTAATAATGTATAGCATAATAATTAATTGAATTAATAATAATTTAAATAATTTGTTTCAAACTAATAATAATAAAATAACATAATTTAGAAATTATTTATATCTGTGGATCATATGATTCTAAAATTCATTGCTATGAATTGTATTTGTTAATATTTCTATTTATTCATTCATTTATTTGGTTAAAAATAAAAGTCCATCTACGTTAGAATGACAGAAACATCACACTGGCTTGTAATGATTAGAAAATATTTAAAGGGATACTCCACTTTTTTTGGAAATAGGCTCATTTTACAACTCCCCCAGAGTTAAACTGTTGAGTTTTACCGTTTTTGAATCCATTCAGCCGATCTCCGGTTCTGGCGGTACCACTTTTAGCATAGCTTAGCATACATCATTGAAGTGGACAAGACCATTAGCATTTCTAAAAAAAAAATTACCAAAGAGTTTCGATATTTTTCCTACCTTCCGTCAACACAACGGAACTATTTCAGGCGCTGCGTCATATCATTACGCCTGCTGCACTCATGGTACGGCAGTGAAGTTTCTTGATTATTACGCAGGAATGAGAGTATAGTTCCTAGCCATATCAGCCTAGAAAATCGCAACTTTACATTTTCCGTCGGTCTTAGTGCACGATGTAACTACAGAAGAGTCAAGTTTTAAATAGGAAAAATATCGAAACTCTTTGGTAATTTTTTTTTTAGAAATGCTAATGGTCTTGTCCACTTCAATGATGTATGCTAAGCTATGCTAAAAGTGGTACCGCCAGAACCGGAGATCGGCTGAATGGATTCAAAAATGGTAAAACTCAACAGTTTAACTCTGGGGGAGTTGTAAAATGAGCCTATTTCCAAAAAAAGTGGAGTATCCCTTTAAAGTGCCCCTATTGTGCTTTTTTGAATGTTTCCTTTCATGCAGTGTGTAATATAGCTGTTTGTAAAGTTTAAATGTCCGGAAAAAAAATTAAGATCAAACTGCACGGCAAATAAAGTTATTATCTTAAAAAGGATGAGGTCTGACCAATCAGAGCAGAGTGGACAAGTTATAACAGACTGGGCTGTCTGACCAATCAGAGCAGAGTAGATCAATCACAACAGACTGGGCAACAGATCTGACCAATCAGAGCAGAGTAGATCAATCACAACAGACTGGGCAACAGATCTGACCAATCAGAGCAGAGTAGATCAATCACAACAGACTGGGCAACAGATCTGACCAATCAGAGCAGAATAGATCAATCACAACAGACTGGGCCGTCTGACCAATCAGAGCAGAGTAGATCAATCACAACAGACTGGGCAACAGATCTGACCAATCAGAGCAGAGTAGATCAATCACAACAGACTGGGCAACAGATCTGACCAATCAGAGCAGAATAGATCAATCACAACAGACTGGGCCGTCTGACCAATCAGAGCAGAGTAGATCAATCACAACAGACTGGGCAACTGATCTGACCAATCAGAGCAGAATATATCAATCACAACAGACTGGGCCGTCTGACCTATCAGAGCAGAGTCAATCACAACAGACTGGGCAACTGATCTGACCAATCAGAGGATAGTAGGATCACTGAAAGGAGGGGTTTAGAGAGACTGAATCTTCAAACAAACCTCTTTGAGAAACTAGGTGTACAATGTATATTATGAGAAAATGTATGATCAATAAAATGTATAGCAATCAATTATTTATTTCTTACACACATAATAACATTATAATTATTTAATATATTAATATTAATGATATAATATTATTTATGTATGTCCCGTTTAGGTGACCTCTCCTCTTACCCAGCTGTCCTTGCAGCCTCCTTCCCCTCTCCCCACAGCGATTTGCATTAAAGAGGAGCCCGGCAGCTGGACGTCTCCTTCCTCCTGCTGCCTGCTGTCCCAGTCTGCTGCGCCCCCTGTAGACAAGGACCAGATGCTGCAGGAGAAAGACCTGCGCATTCAGGAACTCACACGCATGCTTCTGCAGAAGCAGCAGCTGGTCGAATCGTTGCGCTCGCAGCTGGAGGGCAAACAGGTCGGCGTGTCGGTCCGACTCAGAAAGGAACTTTCTGGTGTCACGATGGAGGCGGTCAGGGCGACCATAAAGCAAGAAGTCATAGAGGTGGTGGAGGAGAGTGAGATGGTAACAGAGCCACAGGTGTTCCCGCAGGCGGAGCAGCAAAGGACGCTGGAGCAGGACCGGCAGCAGCAGCAGCTCATAATGCAACAGAATCAGCGTAACCTGCAGCAACAAGCACATCAGAGGAAGAGGAAAACACAAAAACAACAGCACAACCAACAAAAACAAGTCAGTACAGTGTTTCTCTGGCATTTTCCGACTCACCCTACCACTACATTGCGGCCCCCTGGGGTTACGTTTGTGGCACAGCAGTAGTTAGATGCTTAACTTTTATAGCATCTCATGTTTTTAACTATCCTTCTGTCTTTTCCATTTTTCCAACAGTTGCCTCAAGCACTTACCAACCAGCAGTCAAGTCCTGTTTCTTCATTCCCAGTGGACGGACTTAACCCAAACTCCACCCCCGCGATAGTGACCGACAGTAATGGCAACCAGTTCCTGCTAACACTGTCAAATCAAAACACAGACGCACCAGCCAGAGGTCGCCGCCCCCAGAGCAAAGTAACCAATCAGATCAAACTACAGGTAATGTGAGCCTCAATGCTTAAAGTTGTCAAAGTCTATGCATTTATTATGCAATCATTGACGTTTATGTCATTTTCAGAGACTACAGTCTACATCCACAACGTTTCCCAACCAAACAGTGACTGAATTGCCTAACAATAACACTCAATGGGAACAGCCCATACAAACTGTCATTTTGAAACAGCCAATCAAAAAGGTTTGTTCAATCAAAACCACTTTTTTATTCATTGTACTATTTGGAATGAAGTACTACTGCATACTGCAGACTATACACATTGTTTTTGTTTTCAAATAGTATGTGAAACAATACTTTTTGAATACAGAATACTTACATAATCACATGATTTTGTGTAAAATGTTTAACTTTTGTCAGTCTGATCAATGAAATGAAAAAAATATGTCAGATGATCTTACTTCTAGTTCAATTACCACATGCCAGGTCAAGTCACATTGCGACTTTGCGCATTGCATTGTGGGATACAGAACAATGTGCATTGTGCTCTGATTATATACTGCATATATACAAATGTTAATAGGGGAATTATATGCATATATAAAATATGCATACTACACACAGTATACTTGTTACATTCTCCTAAAAGCATACTGCATGAGTAGTGTGCTAGTATGCTATTCTGAATAGAGCCTTCCTTCTTTAAGCTGTCAGTGTAATTGAGAGTCTATGATAGCTAATAGGAAAGGACTTTCGCAGAAAATGACCATCTTCCCTTCATATAAATGAATGATATGAATAAAGCAGCATCACTTATTCCTGACAAGTCATTGAACACAATTATGAGGCTTTTAAACTCGCTTATTAAAATGTTAATGACTAATCACTGTGACTGGTGTTCAAATGAGGGCTGCAGGCATGGGCTATTTAGCCCATTAACACTGGGACTAATTGAGATGCATGTTTTTACTTTGACAGGCACTAAAGCCAGACCTAAACGTGACGACCAATTACAAAACATCAAGCTTTACATCCATATCAGCACCATACAAGCTCCAACCGTTCTTCTCTCCAGTGGAGTCCATGAACGACATGGAGCCCGTCCCCTCATCTCCCAACAACAACAACAATGTAAGTGTTTTGTTAGTGTACGTACTAAAGATCTGTTCCAAAACCTTGTTTGATGCCCATCTATAGATACCTTTTACATTATGGTACCTTCTAATATACATGTTGTTTTAACCAAATTCAAATGTAGCATCGCATGTACAATATGACAAAGTATGTGAACCCTTTGGGTTTCACTGGGTTTATGCATTAAATCAGATCTTCGTTTTAGTCACAATAATTGACAAAGCACTACTGTTCAAAAGTTTGCGGTCAGTTAAAATGTGATTCCCTAGTCTAACGTCTTCACAAGAAAGTAACTGGAGTCATGAATCTGCTATCCCGGAGTCCAATCCAAAAAGAAGAAAAAATTGTTCTTTGAGTTTGCTCAAAACAAGAAGCATTGCCTCATGTAAAGCATGCCTTGAGCAAAAGAGATCTCAGAACACCTAAGATTAAGAATGGTTGACTGTGTAAAGCTAGAAAGAGTTTCAAAAAAGGGTTTTTGGAGCAGAGCTTATGTTTGTGTCTGTACTCTGTATAAAGACTGTCTTGGGGCCAGCAAGACTCTTTTCTACAAGTAAATAACAAAATCTGTGTCATACGAGGCAGGAATTCTAATAGGAACTTCAGTCGAAATTCAGTTGTGTCTAGACTGCTATAAGGCACAGATTCTGTTAGTGGAGTACAGATTTATAGGTCTGTGATATAAATAGAGCTCAGCTTGTTTGTGGCAACATCTTTAGACCTTTATTGCAACATACATGGTAACTATTTTTGGTAGTTTGGCATGGCATTATTTTCATCACCAACTCTACTTTTAACCACATTAAGTATCACTTTGTATTACCAAACTCTCTTTTGTACCTCTATCTCTTCCCACCACACTGTCATTTCATCACCCTCATGTCTTTCTGAACATGTATGCTTGAATTTTTTTATGTAGAGCACAAAAGGACAACTTTAATGCAATTTTTTTTCATTTTTCAATGGTGAACATATCTGTCAATCTACGAAAACAACAAATAAGCACCACAAGTGTGGTTCAAGCGACTACTAAAGTCGTATAGACTATTACAAGTAAAGCTATCATATATTCCAAGAAGACGAGTAGTAAAATGGTCTACTCTTATGGTGCAAATGTCATGGTTTGGTGTTTTTGTCCTGTAAACTTATTTATGAAAATTTCTGTTAGTGTTCCATGGAAAAATTACCTGGAATAACATGTGGGTGAGTTAATAATGACAGAACGAATCCTGTAACATGCATCCATGTCTGTCTGTCAGGAGAAGATGTGTTTGGACCAGCATGCTTTGCTCTCTCCCTCCACCTTGTGTTCACCCATAGCTCTTTGCCATCAGGTACTGTCTTGTACTCCATCTCTCTTCCATCTTCTTTCAAATTTCTATTGTTCCTCTGAGAGTTTGTTTTCTTTTCATATACATTTTTTCTGACCCTTAATTTGTAAATCAATGATTTGTCATCACTTGGTGCTGATTTAGAACAGTTTTCCCATTTCGTTTGTTTACTGAATGATTTAATGGATTTCGTGGAGCAAATCCCAATTCTGATTACTGACCGAAATCCCGGTGGCTCTCCATGTTGGCATATTTAATGATGCTGGTGTTCTTGCAGGAGAATGGCTGCCATCAGCAGGTTGACGACCTGTTTGACATCCTAATTCAGCGTGGAGGTGATTTTTGATGATTTATTTGAATATTTAGTGTCATCCAAAGTAATTTAGATGAGAAAAGTGTATAGTTGCTCACACTCATGCTTTGTTTCCTGCATCCTACAGAAATCTCTGAGAATTTCAAAGCCGCCCCTGATCCTGTTCTCGAAAGGCTTCGGCCAAACACGCCCCTTTTCTCGAGCTCCTTCCCTCTCTGTCTTTCCCCTCCCTCTGATCTGCCCGTCAAAACTTTGATTTTAGAATCTCAACCTCCTTCCATTAAGGCTCACGGCATTTGTGGCACAGGAGGTGGGCGTCTTGAAGATTTCCTGGAAAGCACTACTGGCAAACCTTTGCTGGGATTGGAGCCAGGAGGACCGACAATGCTAATCGTAGACCTCCACAACCAAATGCTCAGCACACCGAGTATCCTAGACCACCCACGTTCCCCAATGGATACGTGTGACATGAGCTTTTCCAATCACTCGGCTTCAGATTTGGTAGACTCCGCCCCCGATCCTATGGATTGGATGGAGCTTGGAATGGGCGGGGCTGAAGGGGAGGAGCCAGGGATGGTACATATGAATGGACACGACTCCTCTAGCTTATTTTCTGCAGACTTTCTGGACACTTCTGATCTGAATTGGTCCAGCTTATAGTGGATTGGCTTCCTTCGCACAGTACAGCAGCTTTTATTTTCGTTTCCACCAGTGACTTTTCCAGTTTGGATTCAACAAGTTTGGATTCTCATAATACTAATTTAACTTGGATCATGTTACATTTTTAAGAGGACTTTATCTCTCACCTCCCCTTGTACAAATGCTCACGAACCCCTCATAACACACGTATGTCACAGAGCAGTCAATCTGATATATATATTTTTTTTTTATCCAGATGCACTTTTTTTGAGCATTTTCTTATCTGAAACACATTTCTAAAACTTTCCAAATTTGGAAATAAGATGCTTTTATGCTTATATCAATTAAAATATGTGAATTTCTCTTATAATAATATGACACTTAAAACAAGATGCTTTCTAAATGATGCATTTGCTCAAATGTTTTGGTGACATACGTGTGCTTATGGAAGTAAGCATACAGACAAGCAATATATATATATATATATATATATTGCCTCAATTGTTGTGCACATTTTGAATTTAAAGTGACAGTTCACCCAAAAATTAAAAAAATTAAATTCCATTTACTCAACCTCAAGTTCCAAACCTGTATGAGTTTCTTCTATTGAACACAAAAGAAGATATTTTGGAGAGTGTTGGTAACCAGACTGTTGACGGTAGCCAAAAAAATAAATAAAAATAAATGCTATGAAAGTCAATGGCTAATGTCAACTGTTTGATTAACAACATTCTTCAAAATATCTTCTTTTGTGTTCAACAGAAGAAATAAATTCATACAGATTTGGGACAATTTGAGGGTGAGTAAATGACAACAACATTTTAATTTTTGGGTGAACTATTTGCTTTACCAAATATAACTGGTCGACTTATCCATACTGGTTATTGAAAACTCAATAGCTACAGAATATGCACCTGGATATTACCATTTATAGTATTAAACTAATGTTGCTAAAAAAAAGTTATAGCATATGCTAAAACCCTATAAGCCAACAGATTTCGTAACATTTTGATAGCATTTACATTTGCATATTAGCATAAGCATTTTAGTAATACTGCTATAACTACTACTTCTAATAATAATTGTTGTTATTATTACTATTATTATTATTGCACCGTAAAAATTTCTACCTACGCCTTATTTTTAAACATAATCAAGTTGCCGTTACAAGTCATTTCAACTCATTTAAATTGTCAAACTGACTTAAAAATCGAGTTGAATCTTTAAATTATTAGTTAAAGTAATGGGGAAAAAACATATGTTGCCATGACTTCTTGATTATGTACATTTTTTAGCGGTGGTATTATTATTAACTATTATTAATGTTATGTATTAGTATTATATATTATTATTATTATTCAATAGGACAAGAGACTCAACATGCGTGTATCTCTGTAGCTACTATTCACAACATTATCTGTTAAACATTTTGTACAGGTGCCAAAAAATATTATTTTATGGCTATATAGATAGCCAGTAAGCTATTCAAAATTTTATTGAATTATAATAGTACAAAGGGACTATTCTACTTTAGTTATATTTTTCAATATGGAAAGACAAGCCATTCATACCTTGTTTTCGCTAGCCTGTTAGCATTTGCTAGCATTGCTACCCAATGAGAGCTGCCAGACGAAGTTTTGATTTCTTAGGTTATATTAGTACAAAATAATTCCCAGAGTGCTTAACATATTGAGTTCTAAAGTTGAGAGTACAATTCCTAAAAATATTAGCCTTATTATTCCTTTTCCTTGCCAGGTTTACATTATCAATAATCACCTAAATACAGTTCAAAACAAATTTATCATCACATTTTAGCAAGCATAAAAGATGTATTACTGCTTCATACATTTCAGACCCAGTAAATTATTCTGTGCATGTTATATACAAGACTCGGTGTGTGCTGGGAAATTACTTTATTACATGAAGCTGCATTTTAATTTAATGTCAACATTCTTAAAAAAATCTAACATGCCTGTACCTTTCAAAACATTATGTCCAACTTATAGCTCTGAATGAGAATTTGTTTCATGTATGTTTTACTGTAAATATTCTGCATTGTATATGAACTGTATATGCCTACCACAGTACACGGCGTACTGTACTGCACTGTATTTTATCAATACTTCTGTCTATAGGCTGAAGTTTTGATAAAGGAATATGAGCCTAAGAGATAATGAATGTTTCTAAGATGATTTGAATGTATATATTTTTGTGTATAGAGGATTCTAATCACATACAAACGAGGCATAACCACATTTTATCAATAAGCAACATTCAAATTTCAAGGACCCTCAAACAAACTTATATTATTACTGTTATTCTCTTTATGCATTGCTTGAATGTGCAATTTTCCAGCGTTTCTGCATATTGTACATGAGCTCAGGAATGAATTGTGGTGTGTGTGACGTCGTTTGTGGGAACAGCATTACTGTCCGCAGTATTCACGCTCTCCATCTGTTTGAAATTGCACTTACAGAGTTTTGGCTGGTGCTTCCTGTGGTTGAGCCCAAATTGAACTTCATGTCCACATGGTCCCCAGTCCACCGTCCCCTGCTGTATGCTGGAGAATCAAACTCCTCAATGCTTCACTGGCTGAATGTGTTCATTTTGTAGGGCTTAATATCTTTAAGACTTTTTTTTTTTTTTGGAAAATTAAATGTTACAAATATAAATAAATGTATCTTGTCCTTTCCAGGGTGGAAAGGGCAGTCTTGGTAAAAAAAAAAAAAAAAAAAGTGTTATTATTATTGTGGTTGGGGTAAAAAGTATCCAGTAGGGTTAGGTCAGAATGGTCAATTAGCAAGTGACATCCATATATTCCTTACAAACATGTTTGGTGAACGCGACCGTAAACCGGGCTTCCTTAAAGAGACAGTTCACCCAAATATGAGCAAGTAAGTGAACGATGATTACATCTGATCACAAAGCTATTGTACAGAAGACTTGAAATATGCATACATTGCGTAGACAAAGTCTTTTTGGAGCTTGAGAGCCCTGATCCCCCCCTTGACTTTCAATACTATTGGCTTAACCTTATCTTCATAGAGTTACATATGGAAGACAAAGTCATCAGATTTGGAATGACTTGTTGGTGAGTAAATTATGATAGAAGTTATTCTTTTTGGTGAACCATTCCTTTAAGATTGTCTTGGTTTGCTGGTTGTTCAGACAACCCATCAACTAGGCTAAGTTTTGTACATCCGTATTTTGTATATTTTATAGGCCTACATATTATTCCTGAAAGATCTGATTCATCGGAATTTGAAATATCCCACAGTTCAATGCATTTGAATTTAAACGTCAATGTAGTTTAAAATTTGAACTTTTGGCACTTAACATAATGCATCACAGAATAATTTTTTTTTATTATTCTTGATGTGGAGGTTTGGCGCACTCATGATGCCTTGCTTAAATTCTGACTGACATTTTTCATTCATTCATTATTTCGTTTGAGTGTCAAAGCAGACTCTCAAGCAGAACATTTACTCTATTTCATCCATGTTCAGTGAACCTTGTGTTTCCAGGCAGCTCGTTGGATTAGACGATGCGGGCGTGATTATAAATTCATAACTGTCCTCTGGTGAGATCAGTGTAAGAGCACCTCCCCTGCCCGTAAATTACTAATTCACACCCTGGCGTCAAATGCACCCCTGATGAACCCATTAGAGAGTATCTTGACCTTAGGATGAGCGATTCTAGAGAATAAATCACTGCACGTCTGTTGCATAACGGTCAACTGCATCCTGCCAGGATTCTCAAATTGTAACAGAACAGTCTGTTCCCATGTTCCACGCCCTCCTCGATGACATCATCGCCCCTGTCCGTGTATTCTCCTCCTGGCTGAGTGTTTCAGTGTCCATTCATCACGTTGTTTAATCAATTTACCGAGATGCAGAAATCTATCAGCCGTAATGGACTGCTGACCCAACCCCTTTTCCCAGACAGCCCCTAGCTCTCTTAACGACCCGAATTAATTAAATAATGGCTCGTGCGGACGGAAGGGCTTGTCATTGTATTGCTCAATTGACAGAGCATCATATATAATTTAGTCAACACAATAAGGTGATTGAACTGAGCTGGTCAAAACCTGATGGACAAAATAACTTATGGGTGTCTTGCATCTCATCGTTATCGGTAGTGCAGGTTTCTCTTTATGGACCGTCTGGGGACCCATTTCAGTGGTGCTTTCTCATGACTTGAGACCTAAGGTCATAAATTGAGAGTGCTTGAAGACCAAAGAAAGCTTTTGACGCACATGAATGTTTAAGGTGTGTTTTGAGTTTGAAACGAATTGGGAATACAGCAAATCAGGACCAATTTGTCTGAAACTAGTTGGTCAATGGATGTCTATGTGTATTGCATCAAAAGTTTTGGTTGCGTGACTTTTCACTTTTACACTTTCATTTTTCTTGACGTCATTGCAATGCACCATAGCCAGTTTATTGCTTTCTCCATGGAGAGGTCGGTTGCTCCAGCTGTGCCAACTTTTTTAGGTTATACATGATTCAACTAGACAAGGGTTTTAAAGACAAGATCTAGAGGCTTTGCAAATAGTAAATTATTCAATAAAATTAAACCTCAAATTATGCACCCATTACATTACTTGGTCACACTTTATTTTAAAGGTGTATTGTGTAATATTTTGGAGGATCTGTGGACAGAAATGCAATATAATATACATAACTATGTTTTCAGTGGTGTATAAAGACCTTACTTAATGAACCATTATGTTTTTATTACCTTAGAACGAGCCATTTTTATCTACATACACCGCGGGTCCCCTTACATGTTAAGTCACCATTTTGCGCCGACATGTTTCTACAGTAGCCCTAAACGGACAAACTACTACAGAGCGCGTTTCGTCACTATGTTGTTCTTCGTGCAAAGAAGCTAGCTAAGTCCGCGAATAAAACACTGACACAATGATGAACAAGTAACAATAATATTCGCAATAACATATCGTTTTACTGAATAATAAAGTAAACACCATTTCTTAATTTATTTTTGTAAAGAAACCTCATTGCTTAACTGGCTACTCTCTGCTGTCTCAGATGACGACATGTTTTCCTTTCGGCCATCGTAACTTTTGATTGTTTGCAATTCGTAACCTCACCACTAGATGCCGCTACAAATGACGCACTGCACCTTTAAGGTGTCTTTGTTACGCTGTATTTACATTTAAGTACTGAGTAATATTAATTAAATACATAGCCTACTTGCTAAATGGTTAAGCTTTGGTTTGGTTTAGTTGCATGTAATAATTATGCACAATTTATAGCTTAGTTATTACTATAATAACTGTCTACATGTAACATATG